GTGATAAAGTTCTAGCATCTTTGTGCAAACCAGCAACTTTGCATTTTAGGAAAAAACAATCATTAAGCATGGTATGTACCAGCTTGCTATTGAACAAGGTATAATAGTTTGTAGTGTTTATTTTCTAATCTGTGGAGCAAACATGGGTTTTACCACATCTTTGACATAGAGTCAGACAGATGAAATAGTAAACTGAAGATTGATGGGAAGGCCCTGTGAACCTTGTTTAAGAAGCCCTAGTGACATAGTCCTTTTTGGCTTTAAAAGCTGCATGGGTGGCCCTGACCCATACAGTAAGGGTAAGTAAGGGTGTTGTCAAGCCTGCAAAGCCTGCTCCATGCCATAGCTTAAAATCCTTCAGGAGGCTAAGGGACAGGAGTCTCCCTCCAATCTGGAAGTCAGCCAGATAAGAGGGCCGGATAGCTGGCGCCTCCATGGCAGCTCCTCTTGGTGGCAGTCAGACAAGGAAGTTTCTGGGGTCTTTTGTGTTGTGTGTTACTGTCCTCTTTGGCTTTCAAAGCTGTATGGTCGGCCCTGACCCTTAGAGTAAGGGTGGGATCGAACCTGTGGAGCCTGCTCCAGGCCCTAGCTTAAAATCCTATTGGGCCTGAGGGCCACAGGCCTGCCTTTAATTGTTTTTGGTGAAACATTCTTCTAGGTCGCATAACCTTGGTATGTCCACTTGCCATACAGAGGTAACTGTTGGTTGCTGTGAAGCCGAACACTGCGACACTGATGAGTCAAATGCGAGAATGGTTACCCATAGTGAACAGTGTTTGGTAGAGCTCCCCAATTAAAACAAGCTTGGAAGCAGGAGTGGCATCCACTTCCATAATAGCTTGCCTCTGGAAAGCCTATGGACCTGTAGAAAGGATGAAAGTTATACAGGGGGTGTCTGGGACATAGAGTCGCTATGAGTCGCCTGCGACTCGATGGCACTTAACAACAATAACAACAGTGACATAGTGTAAGAGATGTTGGGCTGCTCATGCAAAGGTCAGCAATTCAAATCCACCAATCACTCTGCAGAACATAGATGGAGAATCTCCTTGGAAAAATATGTACAGTCTCAGAGATCTAGTGCCTGGACCTAGTGAGTCAGAACTGACTCAGTGGAAGGAGGTTTTTGAATGAGTCAATTGCTGAGGAAGCCCTGGTGATGTAGTGGCTTACCAACTCATCTGCTAACCAAAAAGTCAGTGATGTTCATTTACCAGTTGTTGCATGTGTGACCAATGAGGCAGTTGGCTTTCTTTAATATTTACAACCTCAGAATCTTGGTGAAGAGTTTCCATCAGTGGAAATTTACTTGACAGGAGGCTGTTGAGTTGGATTTGGGTGCCTTGCTTTTTCAGGTAATCCGGTCCTGTTTGGATCCTTTCGCAAACAACCAAACCTGTTGGGAGAGCTATCATTCTCAAACCTATTCTCTCAAATATTTCCCACTTTTCATTATTCATCCATTTGATAAGTTTTCAGAGAAGGTCGTAGGACAAAATTAATTATGTATAAATATAAAGGATCTGAAGTATGGACCCCAGGTTTTTAGGAAATAGATGCTTTCCTGAACACACAGAAAGATCCAGGTTTATTATAGACTGAGCTTCTCAGCTGTGTAATAACATTATTTCTACAATTCTACAACGACAGCATAAGCAAATGCATTACATAACTGTACTAAGTCACATGAAAGTGAATGTTGTTGTTGTTGTTATGTGCCGTCGAGTCATTTGCAACTCATAGCGACCCTATGTACAACAGCCCTAAACCCTGCTCTATCCTGTGCCAATCGCATTGCCTCTGACACACCCATCCCGATTACCCCAGTCACTGAATCAATCCACCTCATAGAGGGTCTTCCCCTCCTGTGCTGTCCCTCTACTCTACCCAGCATGATGTCCCTCTCTAAAGACCTGTCTCTCCTTACAACATGTCCAAAGTATGTCAGATGAAGCCCCAGAATCCTTGCCTCCAAGGAGCAGCCTGGTTTAATCCTCTCTACTATGAATCTGTTTGTTTTCTTGGCAGTCCATGGTACATTCAATACTCTTCTCTAGCACCACAGCTCAAAGGCGTCAATTCTCCTTCTATCCTCCCTAGTCATTGTCCAACTCTCTGATGCATAACAAGTGATTGCAAAAACCGTGGCCTTTGTCAGGCGGACCTTAGTCTCCAGAGAGACACCGTTGCTCTTGAGTACTTTAGAGAGGTCCCTAACCGCAGACTTCCCCATCGCAATACGTTTTTTGATTTCCTGGCTACTGGTGCCAAGAGTGTTGACCGTAGAACCGAGGCATTTTTAAATCTCAGAAATGGCAAAATAAGGCTATTTCATTTATATAAAGCTTAGAAGAATTCGTCACAGAGTTTAAATCATCATCTTAAAAAAATTCTGCTTTCTGCAAAGCTTTTTGTATATTTATTCAACTTATTACCTACGGCATAAAATGAAAGTCTGAGACTTTCCATTTGGAATTTTAAATGCTAATACAGGGATCATAACTTACCAATGATACAACAGTTTATCAGGTTCTTTTGCAACTGGACCACCGAGTGCTACTAAATCACACACACACACACACACACAAATACATGCGCGCGCACGTGCGCGCGTGTGCGTGCTAAGATGCCAGTTCCAGTTCTGTTGTGGGTGCCCCCACAACAGACTGCTAAGACTGCTATGTTCTCAGTAGTCACTTCTGTGGATACTGAGACAACTCCAGATTGTATCTGTAGGAGTGGATAACAGAGTAGTGGGCAGATAGATCAATTAGCTCACCTCACTCCCAGGGCTGCCCATGCACAGCTACAGAATTCATGGAAATGGTAATGCTGGCAATTGCTCTAATTTATCTCCCCCCCCCCCATCCTCCAAATCCCTCATTTTATAGCTAAATGGTAGGGATGAAAATAGCAGAAGAGTTATACTCTTTTAAACTATAAGAATATATATTTACACACACACACACACACACACACACATCTATAATAGATTACTCCTCTCTATAGATAGATCTGTAGATAGATGAGAGAGAGAGAGAGAGAGAGAGAGAGAGAGAAACAGAGACAGAGGCAGAGAGAGAAGTAATCTGTTTTATGTACTTTGCAAAATTGTATTTAATCTTTTCAATTTGTTTTTTTTTTTGCTCCTCCTTCCTTCACATCTAATCTTCACATCTTATCTCTTAATCTTTCAGGATTGATTCTGTTTGGAAACCATTTCTTATCAGTGGTTTTTCACCATAACTATCCCTTTATGACTGACTTATGTCACTCAGAATAATTTTTTCTAGTTTCATCCATGCTGAGCAGTATTTCAGTAACTTAGTTTCTGAATTATAAAATTTAATTTTAATTTCTAAAATGACATGAAAGACATTGGTGAACCTTAATAAAATGAGAGAAGCTTTTCCTAGAAATGTGAAAAGTTCTAAAATTCATTTCAAGGGACTCCTGAATGCCCCTAGTAGATGACAGTTCAAATGCAATATTCAAAATACCCACAATATGAAAAGCTTTATTTTGAGCAATTTTGCATCACCCAAAAGAAAGGGTCTTCAAACTTACAGCGAGGGATTATAATAACATTTCTAATAGCTTTAAATGGCCAAAGAAACAACTATTATTCACATAAGTCAGAGATAAGTCCTTTCCCCCACCCAAGGAAGAATTCCCCCTTCTATATGTTTTTATTTCCCCCACCCAAGGAAGAATTCCCCCTTCTATATGTTTTTAAAAGTATTTTTAATCTAAGTAACTCATGAATTGATTAATCAAGCAAACTTAACAAAACACTCACTATTCTCGTAAACACTAGGCCTTCTCAAGACAAAGCACTTTCCAAATATTTCATTGCTGCTTAAAACCATTCAACAAGCCTTTTCAAATTCAGTGATGGTCATGGATTCAAGTCTTGTGAAGTTGTCTTTAGGCCTGATGTGTAGTCCCTGGCAGTTAGCTGGACAGGCACAAGGGTCAGTCTCTCCTCTTAATCCTTGAGATTCCTCATGGAAAGGGAAAGGGATGGGTGGCCTTCTCTATGAGACCACAGTCAGTTACCGGGTTCATCAGATTACCAGGTTTCTAGGACCTGGGCATGTGGTAAGGACTTCAGCAGAGGAAATCTGAGCACATCAAGGGAATATCAAGGGAAGAGAACGCATAACAGAAAAAACTATTAATTGCAGGGAATGAAGAAGCAATTCTAAATGTATTTAGTTTCATGTCACCCACGTCTCACGAGTAATTTACAGAACTTGTGAGAAAGGGACATATTTGTATCACAGTCACGAAGAACATCACTTACAAAGATTTACCGCTAACTGGTCTGAATCATATGGGAAGTCGGCTAGGACAAACACAGAAGCAGCATATTTAACCTAGAGGTAGGTGTTCACAGTGGGTTCCACATGCGCCCCTCTCCAAGATGCGGGCTTCCTAGGATGCCCAGCGCTGGGAGCCTGGCTCCTGCAGGGGGCGCCAAAGCCACGCGTCTCGGCTTATCATCCAAGCCAGTATTCCAGAGCCCGGCAGCAAATGCACTCAGAGCGGTAAGAGTCTGGGACAGTTTCAGGAAAGCGCATGGGAAGGAAAGGAGATGCCTGGCCTAGATATGTTGTCCCCTGCGGCGTAGGCTATCTTCACCACTAGGTGGTGGCAGAATCAAAGCCGCCTTTACCCTCTTCTCCAGGGATCCCCTTGAGGGAAGAAGAGGACGACTAGGTCAAACTGATGGTGGCTGGAGCAAAGAAAGTCAGTTGCTGTGGATATGGGCGCATGCAGAGGCCAGCGCGGAGCTGAGCCCTGTTCAGCCCTCCGGAGGCGCCCCGAGAGCGCGAGGCGGTGTTGTGTTCTGCCTCCTCCACAAAGCTTTGGATGCAACAGGTCTGGAGTGGGGTTCAACAGCAGCATGGGCAGCAGGAGGATGCAGATGCTGACACCTAGAGCGGACACTGAAAGCCCATTCTCCCATGCAGCAGTTGTCCAGCCGTACAGGAGCATCAGGCGGCCTCCTCACGGCAGAGCAACTGGTTGAGGCTCCTGCGGAAGTTGTCGTCCAGAAAAGCGTAGAGGAAAGGATTGAGGCAGCTGTTGGCATAGCTCAGGCTGGTGATGAAGTAGGACACAGCGACGACCAGTGGAGTCTGCGGGAGGTCCGTGGTGAGCGCCACTACGGTGCTCAAGTGGTAGGGCGTCCAGCAGAGCAGGCACACGGCCAGGATGGCCACCACCAGCACTGTCACTCGCTTCTTGGCGCGGTCCAGGGCCTGAGCATGGCTGTCTAGCCGCATGGCACGCAGCCGGCACAGCAGGGAGGTGTAGAGGGCGCAGATGGCTGTCACCGGGAGGGCGAAGCCCAGCACGAGCGTGTAGAGGCGGCTGGCGCGCCACCACCAGGCCTCAGGCTGCGGGAAGACCAGCACACACTGGCGCCGTCCCTGCTCGTCGTCGAGCCTCGCGAACACTGCGAAGGGCAGCACCACGAGCGTGACCAGGCTCCACACAGCCACGCTAACAACGCGCGCCGCTCCGTAAGAGCGGTGAGCCACGCGGCGCGATTCAGCGGTGGCCAGCACCACCAGGTAGCGGTCGGCACTCATGACTGTGAGGAAGTACAGGCTGGAGAAGGTGTTGTACTGGTCGATTGCCACGATGATTTTGCACATGAGTTCTCCGAAGGGCCACTGGCGCAGTAGGAAGTCAGCGATATTGATGGGGAGCACAAGAGTGAAGAGCTCGTCAGCGATGGCCAGGTTAAGAATGAACAAGTTGGTGACAGTCCTCCGACGCGGCGCCCGCAGCAGCACAAACAGCACCGCCGAGTTTCCAGCCAGCCCTACCGCACAGATCAGCGCGTACACTACTGGTACTGCCACCGCCAGCGACAGTGGCAGCGGTGGTGGCGGCAGGCTGGATGCGTTGGAGCAGCCGGGAGTGGGCCCTGGGCGAGACTCATTGGTCAGCTCTAGCGTGCAGGACGACGCGTTGTTCATGTCGCTGAGGGCGGAGGTCCCGCTTGGCTACCTACTTGGTGAGGCGGCCGAGGAGGCGCGGAACCGGCCACCTCCAGGTACGTCTTCACTACCCCTTGGAAAAACCGAATGGAAAACACAGATTAGCTTTTATAAAAGGATGTGGTCCCACAGGCGACCAGCGGCGCCCCAAGTCTCACCAAATTGGTTCTCTCTCTCTGCTACTTGTTGAAATCTGATTACCACCAGTTGACTATATGAAATGAAAAAGTGCTAGGAAGAAACGTCTTCATCTTTTAGTTAAATATTAATCTCCTCTCACCTCACACGCCCCACCCCCCGTTAGTGCTCCCTAGAGAACCTAGGTAATTTAAAATAATTAAGCACTGCCAAGCTTTGGTTCCCTAGGTTCATTTGCGCCCTTGGTAACAATCAGATCAGTAACACTCTTGTCCTTACCTGGCCAGCTAGGAAAAGTATCTGTCTTTCTGGGAGGGAGCCTTGAGGAGAGCGGTCTGCCAGTTCTAGCCTTGGTTCCTAATGCCCACGCATAGGCTGCAGCTTATGGAGGATCCCGCCAGCCCTCTGAGCGCACTAGAGCGCAGCCGCGACTGCGCTCTCTGACCAAGACCGCTGTGCTCCCTCCCTCAACAGGTACAAGAGCAATGAGTTGGCAGGCAATAGCTTTACTAAGAAACTAAGTTCTTTTGATTTGTGTCTCTCTTATTGCCAGGGATTTTGATCATTTCCTCATGTGTATGTTGGACATCTGAATGTCTTCCTCTGTGAAAAATCTTTCCATATTCTTTTTCCCCATTCTGTAATTTGATTGTAAGTCTTTTTCTTGTTGAGTTCCTCTATTTTGTAAGCTTTTGTCATGAGATCCTTTTCTGAGATGGCATTACCAAACGTTTTGGGTTTTGTTTGTTTGTTTTTCCCCCAGTCAGTAGGCTTTCTTTTCACCCCATTGGAAAAAGGTTTTGATGTAGACAGGGTCTTAATCTTTAGAAGGTCCCATTCATTAATGTTAACCTCTCCTGGCTGTGCATTTCCGGCAGTATTTTTCCACCCTCTTTATACCATAAGCAAGGCCTTCTAAGTTTTATCCCATTTTGTCTCTCATGACTTTTATGGTTTGGGGCTTTACACCTAGGTCTCTGATCCACCTTGAGCTGATTTTTTGTTCATGGTATGAGATGTGGATATTGCTTCAGCTTTCTGCAAATAGATGTCCAGTTTTGCCAGCATCATTTGTTGAAGATGTTGTATCCCCCATTTGATAGGTTTTGTTTCCTCATCTAATACCGGTTGGCTGTAGGTAAATGAGTTGATTTTGTTCCATTGGTCTGTCATTGTACCAGTACCATGCTTTTTTTGGTTATTACAGCTGTGTAGAAGATTTTTATGTTGATTTGGTATCTGTATTGGGATTGCATTAAACATGTAATTTGCTTTTAGTAGCATTGTCACTTTTCACTATATTGATTCTATCCATTTTTCCATTTCTTTTGATCTTTTATTGTTTCTTCTAGTAGTGTTTTGTAGTTTTCTTTATAAAGACCTTTTGTGTCTCTGTTAGGTTTATTCAAGGATATCCCAATTTCTGGTTGGCTGCAGCATTACACAGATAACACAATCCTGCTTGCTGAAACTGAGAAGGACCTAAAGTGCTTGCTGCAGAGGATCAAGGACTGCAGACTGCAATATGAATTGAAGCTCAGCATCAAGAAGACAAAGATTCTCAACACTGGACCAATTGGCAGCATTATGATAGATGGTGAAGAGACTGAGATTATTAATAGCTTTAGTTTTCTTTACTCCACAATCAACACTTTTGGTGCTAGTAGCCAGGAAATTAAAAGACATATTGCAATGGTGAAGTCTGCTGTCAAAAACCTCTCCAAAATACTGAAGAGCAATGATGTCAGTCTGGAGACTAAGCTGCACCTGATCCAGGCCATTGCTTGCAATTATTTGCTATGCATCAGAAAGCTGGGCAATGACTAGGGATGATAGAAGGACAATTGATGTCTTCGAACTGTGGTACTAGAGAAGAGTATTGACTATACCATGGACTGCTAGGAGAACAAACAGGTACATCTTAGAAAGGGTGAGACCAGGCTGTTTCTTGGAGGCAAGAATTCTGAAACTTCATCTGTCATATTTTGGGCATGTTGCAAGGAGGTATCATTCCTTGGAGAAGGACAACATGCTTGGGAGGCTGAAGAAACAATGCAGGAGAGGAAGACTATCTATGGGATGGATTGATTTAGTGACTAGAGTAGTGGAAGTAGGTGTGTCAAAGGCAATAAGATTGGCACAGGATAGAACAGGGTGTAGGTCTGTTAGACATAGGATCATAGGTGGCTCAACAGCATATAACAAACAACAAAACAAAAAAATTGTAAATGCATCTCATTCCAGTGGGACTGGCAAAGTTTAATAGAATAGCAAGCAATATATGTTGGAGACAATGTGGAAAGATTGGAACTCTCATAAACTGTTGATGGAATTGCAATATGGTACAACCTCTCTGGATAACAGTTTAGCATTTCCTCAAAAAGCTGAACATAGAAATTATAAATTACCTAGCTATTCCCTGCTAGGAATATACTCCAAGGAAAATAGAACTGACACACAAACAAAGATTTTGTATACTGATGTTGATAGCAGCTTTACTCACAAGCAAGTTAATGGAAACAGCCCAAATACCCATCAACAAGCAAATGGACTGAGAAATTGTGATACATGCTGAGTCAACCAACTCAATCTTATAAGGGCGATTACTGCATAAGACAAGTATTGTAAAATAGGTAACTAGTAAGATGTGTATAAAAGGCCAAAGGTGAAAGGAGAAGGCACTGAGCGGGGAGGGGTGAAATCACTGGTCACAGAGCTTGGTGGGCAGAGGGAGGGGTGAACGAATTGGGAAAGATCCAGGTGACCTGAAAGGAAGGGGATAGAGTGGGTACAGATCAATGGTTGACTTTATAAAATGCAGTGTATGGAAATTATCATACGAAACACAATGTGATTGAAGGAATGTTTGGCATACAATATATACGAATCAAACCTAATGTATATGAATTTTTGTATGGAAATCAATATAAAATTTTAAAAATTAAAAAAAATAAGTTGTTTCTGTTTTCTTCTTTGTTTCTCTCCAGTAATGTAACCCTACTCCATCAGAAACAACAAAAAGAAAGGGTCTCTTGTTTTATGAATTAAATTTAAGAAACTCAAAGTTAAGGTGTTACTGTTCTCTTTAAAAAGGAAGACAATGCCATTGAGGTGAGATTAGCATATTTTTTTTAAAAACAAAAACACCATCCCCCAAATAGGATTTGACAGGGGTACCTTACTGCTTTTTATCAGGAAAAGTTAATGTCATTTTAAAATGCAAACCTTTATTTCCTCATAGATTTGTCTTCAATAGATTACAATTTTGTTTTTCTTTTTGTTTTTGTTGTGTACTGTCAAGTCGAAACTGCCCCATAGTTGACCTTCTTGTGGGTTTTCAGAAGCAGGAGGAGATTACCCAGCCTTCTCCTGCAGAGCAGCTGGTGGCCTTGAACAATGTGCCTTCAGTAGTACAGTACAGATTCTTGCTTCTAGGTCATTAGAGCTACGTATTTTTTGCTTGGTTTTTAATAATTCCTTTAAACCTTCTTTCAAAGCTTTTTATTGCCATTTTATGGAGTTCTGGTACCTAGTCCCTAGAGAGTTACACTGTTATCCCAAAAGAAGCACCCCTCTGGCATTTGAAATCCACCAGTTACTCCTCAGAAAGATGAGCAATCTTCTCCCAGAAGATTTAAACCCTATGAAAACCCACTGAAGGGTAAACTTTGAGAGGCTCCCACTGGTTTAAATGAGTGAGTGAATGAGTGAGTGAGTGTAATTTGGGTGAAACTTACTGATCAAGTAGATTTCTCATTCACTAATTTACACGTGTTTTGTTTTGTGACATAGGTTACAATCCTGCTTTTCTTCTTGTTTTTCCCTTCTTTTCTGTCCTTGCCTACTTTCTGAGTTTTATTTCTGGGAAAATACTGCCCTTTTGAAATTGTGGGGTTGATTATTCTAAGGAGTACATACTTCTTTGGTGTTATATTTCCCCTTATAGGTCTGTCTATTATTTGGCTGAAAGTTGAGCTAGGAGGTGGGGTTCAGTTCCAAGATATCTAAAAAAGATATCTAAGAGACAAGCTTTACGGTTCCACCAAGTTCTATCAGACTAAGAAAGTTGATGGTGTTCTGTTTTATTTTGTTTCTTAGTGATTATGAGCTTTGTTTCCTATTTTTATTTGACTCTTAATTCAGGACCTGTCATTGCAATCCCTTTCTGAGTGGTCAGCAGTGGTTCTGGTCTCAGGGCTGTGGAAGTTGGGGTTTACTTTGTCTTTTGAGTGAGTTGTCTTCACTTTTCTTTCCTTCAGCTGAAGAAAAACCAGCAGATGCACCTCAGATTGCTGCTTATAAGCTTTTCAGACCCTAGTTACTGCCCATCAAAGTAAGATGTAGAACACTGTCTTTATTATGCCAATTAACCTTGATGCCCCTGACACTAAAATCCTGAGCCCACAGGGCCAGCAACTCAGTTCATCAGTGTTTGGTTATAGATAAAGATTTTTCATATCTTTGCTACTTGTATGCTTTTCTTTAGGTATGGATATATTTCAGCACATATAAATACATATGAATTTGTACCCTCTTGTAAACCACATATGTGTTGATGGATGTAATTCTATTCTCCTTTCCAAACCTGGTTAGTTTGCATGTCTATGTATCGACTTATAGATAATTGCTATTAGTGTGTTAGCAGGATTGAGTATTTAATAGTATGCACCTGTGTTGCCTTTAACTCTTCTTAAAGAGTTCAAGTGTCTTCCTCTTACTTTATTTTACAACCACCACCTCTTATTTTATGTTGCGTTTTCTTTTGCTCAAGTTTCTTTCAACTCTAGTTAATAATTGACCTTTTTCCTTGCCTTCCCATCCCTGGTAGCCTTCAAAGAATA